TGTATCAATTTTCCGGACAAAAAAATCCGCAAACATATTTGTAAGATTATCAAGATTATCATGCGGTGGAAATTGACGTTGATTCTCACGGTGTAAAAGTTTATCTAACACTTGGAATAGTACTTTCTGATCACCATAATTTGCCTCAATCTTATCTGTGTAAAATTTCTGTCTCGTTGTAACTAGCAAGTGACTGTAATACTCTGAGTGCTCGTTGAACTGACGAATATCTTCAGGTGAATTAGATAATCGGAACTTACGTTCCAACTTTCTTTTTGCTCTCTTTTCTATTAGCAACTTGGCATCAAACCATTCAGCTTGCGGGTGTAATGTGACAGTTTTACTTCTCAAGGGAACATGTTTTTCTAAAAGATCACGTAAGGCACTGTTGTACAACAGAGCAAGATCAGAAAGCGAGTTGACAGATTGAATGTCAATATCATCTATACTCTGCCGAAACTGGTTTACATCAAGTGATTTCCATCGTCGATAAGATACTGTTTTCCGAGCAACACTCGGTTTCTTTGTGGTGGTTTTAAACTACACAATACTGTGATCACTTATCCAAGGTGTGTGGACACATATACCATTTATTAAGTTCGAATCTTGTCTCGTTATAAGTAGGTCAAGTGTGTGACCAGACTGGTGAGTAGGTTCACTAACATGTTGCGACATATTAATAATAAATAAATAAGATAATAAAATAATTTCGCACTTAAAGAACTTTGAGCTCAACGGCGCAGCGAAATAATACTAGTCGACGTGTAAATTGTAGCAAGTCTAGAAACTTACATGATCCTCCAGCAATCCACTTTGCGCCTATCCACCACAACATAAGCACTGAGGAATGGTGATAAACATGAAGAAATGAAACTTGTTTATCTTTCTTACGTAGAATGAAAATGAACTGTAAAACGAGATATGGATAAAAGACTGATTAGAAAACAAGAAGCGTCTTCGAAATTCTTCATGCAAAACAAAAAGTTTGAATAATTTGTCCCAGGGGTGTCCTCAGCAACGTTGTCATTCTGAATACAACGTTAAACTAAGATTTTCACGTCATTGGAGCAACGTGAATACTGTTGCGACGTTTCAGGAGTTGCATAAAATCCGTCTCATAGCAGACACCGGATCATCCTATATGGCCGAGTAGATAGTATTTATTTATTTTTTTATTTATAAAATAGATATATAGTAAAACGAAAGAAAAGCTTTTCAAGGGAAAGACATGCATGCAAAGAACTTGGATGCATCAAAATAAAAAATGGAATCAGTGCATAGATCATTTCTCAAAATGTAGTATATAGCATTTTGTGTGGCGTCAAATCATAGTGATATTTACGCAGCAAATGTAAAATTTCAAAAATAATCTTTCACCCATTTACTTCTGCATGTATTTAACATAAGATGACAATTCTCTATTTAGGCGAGTTTTCTCAGTTTCAAATCAAGTCAGACAAATCTTTAGTCATAATAGAAGAAACCACTTCTTACAGTATCAAGCATTTCAAAATATTTTGACAAATAGTGCAGCCAAAGCACTCTTGCGATCTGCAATAAAAAAAGGAAGAGAGATAAAAAATCAGTAAAATTTCTAAAACCTGTTAAAACACATCAACTTTTTTTGACTGGGAATCTAATGCAACAAAATCCGAAAATACCATAGCCATCGTTGTGAATTGAAAATTCCAAAAACATCCCAATAATTTTTCGAAGTAGCAGATTGCTCTACATGCTTGCTCTCATAACTTACCTTCTATATTTTATTTTTATATCTTTGCAACTATAGAAGGCAGAACAGACCTTACTGTTTATTGCCCCAATAGCCTCGTTTCATGCGATGTTTCGTGCATGTTTTTGATATTGTTTATGAGACTCAGTCAAAGGTTTAGGGAAGTGTGATAACATGACTTACTTTGACCTTAATTCTAATAGTTTCGGACATCACAAAAACCTCATCCAATAACTATTTATTTTTAAGACAGTAGCATTTGAAGAGTTTACGATTACCTCCATTTCCAATGGGTTGTCAAACGAGTAATCCACAGGCTGGCAGAAAAAACGGTAATTCGCTTGGATGACACAAACTAAAATCTAGACATAATGAAAACAGTAAAACTATGTGTTCCCTGCATTAGTAACACCATTACGAAATATTGAAATTTTAAATTAGAACTTCTCCTCTTCGGAATGTAATATAAATTGTTCTATTATCTCGAACGATTTCCATATATTTCCACACTTGAAATTTCATCCGGAGATAAAATGTTGGCGAGGTACCTGTAAAGGATTGCCCGCGCGCGTGGACGTACGAACACATATTTTCTTCAGCTGTGTACTGTGCTAAACATCGTACGCCCTTAATTATGCTTTTTCGAAAAGCCCAACTTTTACCTTTCTCGTTCGTTCATGTACTTGTACAGTAGAATATTTTTTGCGATATAGTTGTATTTTTCGCAACTGCCCCTGGTCAGGTAGGTCAAAAATTGTATATAATTTTCCGCTCAAGGAAAAGGCTAGAGCGTTCGCTGCACCGTTGATTATCTTCGGTAACTGATACTGTGTTTACAGGAATGTGAAACGAGCTGCTTCGAGCCACTGGAAGTTTTTATTCGCTATTTTAGGCTTATTGTCAACTGCAGACTATATGCTTATTACCCTCATTATTCATTATTCATTTGAAAAAACTTAAAAGCACATCTTATAAACTCTGCTCAACCATCAATGATTGTTAAGGTTTTTAAGAGAATCTAAAGCCCTGTGATACATTTTCCGAATGGTATACCCTTCCTAAAATCAACGTCGTTGACTCATGGCAGTCGATTAAAGGTTCATCCACGCGCTCCTACCGGCACAAAGTCTATATTTTGACAGAAGAACGAATTACTATATTCAAAATATATTTTTTTGCAGGAGGGCTTTTCATTTTTAATTAAACAGCATGCCTGGCTGCGTACGAAATGACGTTGCAATTGTAGTCAGTCCGTAAATATATCAATCATTATGCCAATTGATATATCTATACAGTATATGAATTTTCAATAAATCAATCATGGAATAGCTAAATTTATGAATTAATATAAAAAATTGAGCACTTACCTTTATAAACATATACGCACTAAGTGTGACAGCTAAAAAGTTAAATAAAGCCATGACAACTCTCAATTCAAATGCTTGGCGGTTTTTCATTATCTTTGGTCCAGCGATAACGACTGAGACATAACACAAGACTGCAAAAACTGGACTCCAAACATTTTGGACAAGTGGCCAATCTTTTAGCCGAGGATCTGAAATTAGAAATGATTACCGTATAATATACAGTATAATATGAAGCCATAAAATACCCTTCAAGAGGCCCCACGTTGATAACGCGAATAAATCTATGGCTATGAAATGTACAAAGTAAATAATCATGATGAATGGGATCAACGATATTAATTGTGGCAAGTACAAGTAGATCAGTAAAGTTAGTCTTCTGCAATACCTTTCGACACTGATTATAAGGCGATTTCATGTTGAATAATACTGATGAGCGTTATGCCGGTTTTTCACTAGGCGGAATTTTGCGCGCGGCAATGCAAAATTTCGCTCCGTGCGCAAAATTCCGTCGTGGGAGAAGATGTGATCAGATGTACGTTTTGCAGCGATAAGTTCGAATGCCCAGCTTGGGGGAAAGTATGTTTTTGTGTAAAAGAAGGAATCACTTTGCAGCAACATATATTAATAATAGCGAACCATCACAGAACCCACGAAAGCGACTTCCGGTAACAGAAAAATGGTGTCCAGTATTGACCATGACACATCACGATTACATAGCCATGCCAACCATCAAGGAAGATGTAAATGACGTTTATGTGGAAGAATGCAATCCGAAACCATATGCATCAATCATGATCAACGAACACCTAAGAAAAACATCGGAGCAAAACCTGAGAGAGACTGATATTGAAGTGCCGCCGAGGAATTAAAGACAATCAAGAAGACACATGCAGATGACCAACAGTCAGTCACCGATAATCCAGTTGCTATCTAAACTGAAAGTAACCCATTGCCCAGTCATATTGCCACATCAAACAAAAACCCCAATAAAAGACAAACCTACAGGCGGGCATATCTAGATGACTTTCTGACAGATATACTTGAGAACTTGAGAACTTGAGAACGGTATAGCATGTTTGAGAAAGGGAGATGTGAAGTCATGGGCTTGGGTCTAGGTACTAACAGCCCCTGGCGTTGAACTGGCGCTCTCCGGCCTAATGTTCTTGTTATGGGGTAACATTGAAGAACTTTAAGACCTTGTCTTGTTACCATGGACGGGCGTATAGCTATATATAATTTATGACAAATGAAGCTATTTCATTGGTTAATGGATAATTAGCATGCGTTTAAAATAACAACACAACAATTTTAAATTCAAAGATTTCCAGACCAAGAATCAAGATTTCCTTCGGGGCATACAAAGGTTTGAAAGACTTGAAATATAATCTGTTGAGTTTAATTTTGTGCTGTATTGAAGTTTAAGAAAATCAAGATTAAATTCTAGTGTTTGGACACTCAGCGAACAATGCTGACAAATATATAAAATACAACAAACTATCGGACGGAAATTGACAATTTATAATTGACAGTTTAATTAATAAATTGACAATCTGTTTATATGTTCGGACCCCTCGCGATAAAGCATTTTCTTTACATGTAATGTGTTTAACTTCGTCTTACTTGGCCAGTTAACTTTTAATTACTTTAAAATGCACCTTTTGAATAACCAGTATTCAAATAAAGCACTCTCCAATCAGAGGCCTGTCCCCAAATCTGGGAACTATCCACGTGACCTGAACAAGGATTATGCATCCAACTCACAGACGTTCTCTCGCGCGCTTCGTCTAGAGTAACGGCTGTACACAGGCTAACGGGTGTACGGATTAAGTTAACACAACACGCTATTTAAAAGTCACATCCGCATATTATCCGACAGGTCTAGAAAATATATTTCTCTTCCTGGCAGCAAAATCGAAAAATAAAAATTTCCTGTGTAGATCAACGTGTGGTGCGGCACACATTGTGATAAACTTGAAAAACACTTATGTAAACATTAAGTAAATTATATGGCATTCTAGTATATAAGATGACAAAATTTCCTGCAAGGTAAGAAAATTTCCTGTGAAGATATTTTGATAAAAATTTCCCGGCAGCGGTGCTGCTGGCGCTGCCGGACATTTTCCAGCACTGTTATCCGAAAGGATAAAAACGTGGATATGGTTTACAAATACTCATCGCCCCTTTAAAGATCATATCCGCGTTTGAAAAGAGACGTCGTTTTTGCTAGTGTTATTGTATTACACTCTTACCGCTGGCGTTCTCTGCTCGGTTAATAAAATCTTGCACATTCGATATAATTTTTTCCATTATATGAACCTAAAACAGAAAAAGAGCTGTATTTAATACTATTTATATTATCAATTAACTTTTCAACCTATAATGACTACCGTAAGCGATTTAATTGAGACGCCTGGGTCCGTACAAGTTTAATCACGTGTGCAATAAGTTGTGGCTTAACCTTCATGGCGCGGTGCACGCGAGGGCTAATGGTCTTATATTCGCGAGTTTTTCAAATACTTCAAATTGCACTTGTCCTTCGGACTCGTGCAATTTTGATAGTCTTTGAAAAACTCACTCGTGCATCTTCTTACCAAACTGCACTCAAAACCATGCGATTACCTACATATACATATCAGAAGAGCTCATTGATCTATTACATTATTCGCAAAGCAAAAACGTTCAAACTTACATATACACATTAGGGACTGGTCATAAAATAACTGCTAGGGTGGGCTGGAGGTAAATCACAAATTATGCCAATAAGTTCGGTGACCCATCTTAGGATGTAGATAAAAATTTCAAAGCCCATCTAATCTTACAAAAAAATTTTCATGACCCACTCAATCTAAATCGAGAAAATACACTTTTATAATAAAAAAAACTTGCAGGTATGAACATTGTAAATATATATGGCACTGTATTGACATACATAATTCCACCAACCTTGACCAACACATTCATCTCAATTACGATACTGAGCTGCTCTCCAGTTGGTTGTATTTGCTGCGTTCGACCACTTCTTGTTGTTGTATAAACAACGTACTGGCTTCAATAGCATCATTTGCATTTGATAATTTGAATAGTTTTGTTTACTTTTATTATTAATATTTTTATTTTTTGAAGTAGATATGCATGGGTTTTTGTTTGGTGGCCCAACCGTGGACATACAAAAAAATTGGCGGCCCATCGAAATGCCCAAAGATTTTCCATGGCCTATCCCAAATCACTCCAGCGCACCCTAGCAGTTACTTTATGACCGGTCCCTTATCCAGTCCACTCCCCATCAGGGCTTTTCAGTGACCGATTACATCAAGTATTACGCTTACTTATATTACCTACTTATCCTAGACTATTTATATCTTTACAACCATTATGATATAACTTTCCTGTTTATCCTAACCCACCCTGTCAACTTAATGAATTTAAAGTCAAAATGTTAGCCATAAACAATAAACAATAAACAATAAACAATAAACAATAAACAACGGTTTAAAGCCAAGATGTAGTGGTCATATTGTATGCCGTTGTAGTTAAAAAATGTAACCTCTTTTGGTATTGTTTTTAGGACCGGGACTACGGAGGAGCTGTCCCCCACCCAAGAAATGCCCCCATTCGGTACGCGAGAGGTGCAGTGGGTATAGTGTTTCTATGATGCAAGAAGTATAGGGGGTATTATAGGTACCGTTGTGGTTATAGTTTGACACATTGCTACGGAAAGCAAAGCGAGAAACGCCGAACGATCTTGAACGATCTTGTGCGTGTTTTATACACTATAGTGGGCAAAGGTTTCTTGACGAAAAAACAAAGACACACCTAAACAAACATGCACCCCTAAACAAGTAATGCAACAAGGTTGACAACGGCGTCCAGTAGCGAATGTAGTCGGCCGAAGGGTTGAAGGCAGGTTCGTTGATTGAACACACAATGTAACAAGAAGCTATTACTCTCTGGAGCAACTTATGCACGTGCCCAGGCGACAATAGGTTGTCCCTGCGGTTTTTCTACTCTTTATTTTTCAGCCACAAATCGACTAAACCGCGAGCATTGAGCAATCCCTCGGGAGAAAGAGGGACTGCCGACAACACATCAACGCAAAATTCCTATTGGTCGATATTGGTGTGTCTGTCAGTCAAATACGTAGTGATTATGCTATAAATAATTTCCAGACTGAATGTTGATTTTATAAATAAACATGACATTAACGGTTCCTAACTTCCTATTGGATAGATTTAGTTGGATATAAGTAATGTTTATGCAAAGGCGGAGCCAACTTGACAAGAGCGAAAAGTGGGCGTATTTCGTTTCTCGATGGGTTGTCGGCAGTCTCTCCTTTCGAAAGATTCTTTTAGGTTGGGTGCGACCCAGTGAGCTCCATAAATATCTGGAGCGAGAACTCGAGTCCAAAAAGTGAATCCGGCTTCGTGTTAACCGCGCAGACAAAAACAATAGAGAGGAACTGGAACTCACATCCTATCAGTAGCTCCTTCAATTTCCGCCATCTTGGCAAGGAGTGTGCCGACATCTCGTATTTTCACATTTATTAATGAAAGGACAATGGCAATAAATTTTTTTATTCCTGATATTAGTAAAACTGGACCCCCTGATTACGAATATGCTATTAGTTTTCGTCCAAACTGGTTTGTTTTCGAGTTATTTCACCGTAAATATTCAGTACGTCCGCCATCTTGGATCGATTTTCAAAAAATTATCTTTTGGGTCACATGACCTGTGTGACGTCAAGAGCAGGGTAGAATCAAAACAACAAATATATTTTATTAGGCGCATATTGCGACTTCGTACTTCTAGTGAGAAATGTGGCGCTTTCTGATTACTCGGATGGAAAATATCCTCGATATCAAGTAGATAAGGTATTACCCTATCAATTTGAACCTAAACCGGGCTTACAAACAAGCAATAGTGGTGACGAGAGCGACTCTGAAGAACAGAGTGAATCGTCTGACGAGGAAATCACCATGGTCCATGTGTTTGAGGTCGAAAATGCTTGGCACATTGAAGCCAAAGGATATTGAATTGTTTTTGTTGCGACGATAAAGCTTTAGAATACGATGAATAAGATGCATTGGTCGAATTTTATACATAAAGATTGATATATGGTGCATTTTCAAGCAAATCAGCTGATCGAATATCGTAAGTTGCCCCAGTGTCATATCGAATATCGTAAGTTGCCTCGTCATAATGACGTTAAACGCGGATAAACACTTCGTTAATGCGATGCAACACGGAACATTTTTCACAAAAATTCGCGAAGCAAATCGTTGTAGAGCCAATCAAATTTCATGTATCATCACTTGCACTGTGAATTGTCATTTGACGTCATTATGAAAAGGTCCATTAGCAACTCATTCTGACGTAGACATGGGCAACAAAATTGCTGCAACAAAATCTGATTTACACGCACGTTAATTGAAAATGTTTACTCATGTGTTAACATTTCTACTTACAGGTAAACTACGTGAAGTGTTCCTCTTTTAAGTTCCTAACTTGATTGCAATTTTCCTCATTACCTTAGCAAATTTGAAAAACTCCCTTGCAAATCCCTTGAGGGAATTTGCAATGTTCTTAAGAGTCAAATAAATTTTCCTCAGTGCCTGTTACAAGTTCCTAACTTCCTGTTCTGTTCTGCGCGTTGTAATTGGCTAACAAAAATAATCCGCCAATGATAACGCTCAGAACAGAACAGGAAGTCAGGAAACTAAAACAGGAAGTTAGGAAAATTTGAAAGGAACTTTCTTTGCGTTGGAATATTGCAACGGCCGACAGGAAAATTGCAAATTCCCTCAAGGATTGGCAAAGAGTTTTTCGAATTTGCAAAGCTGATTATGAAAATTCCAAATGAGTTAGGAACTGAAAAGAGGAACGCTTCACGTAGTTTACCTGTAATATGCGTTGAAATCAGATTTTGTTGCAAGTTGCAGCAATTTTGTTGCTTGTATTACTCCAGCTTTATGTAATATGACGCACAAGGATGGCCAGAGGCGTAGCCAGGGCTGGGACCGGAGGGCTCGGCCCCCCTGGAAAAATTTTGCCCCCCCCCTTGCAAAATCATGAGATTCAGGTAATTTATAGTTTATATTTATAAAAATTTTGGAAAATTTTTGGAATTTAGAAAAATATTTTGAAGAAATGGCGAAAATTTAAGAGATGCGGAAAAATTATTGTCTTCACGGAAAATTTTGGTGTGTCCGGAAAAAATTTTTGACCCCTAAAATGGTACACTGATAGCCAGCGTGGCCGGCTCTTTTATAGGTAGAGCCTGCCCGAAAGCCCTAGTCAAATTGATGCCGCCCACTTAGTTAATATTCCATATTAACACCGCCCACTCGAAATAGTTTTGTATAAATTGATGACTTAAAATTTTAATTGTTGCATAATTATTTACTATAGCCTGCGCTACATCCTTTCAATAAACTTTTTACAATAGATGGATAGCGATTCAACTGCCT